CTATTATGAGCCTTTAACCTAATTGAGAGCCTGAAAGAACAACGGAAATAGTTCATTAAAATAAAAATATTACGCAGTACATATTATTGTTCAGTGGCAATATTAATATTCCACCGCACATCCATTTTCACCAAAAACTTTGATAGTATAATCAAAGTCCGTTACATAATGAAAATAAAGAAAATAAGTCTCCTCCACATTATGGGCCTCGACTATTCTAGCCCAGCCCTCCCGAAAAAAGAGGTTTCCTTGCTCACATACATGAATTTTCACTTTAAAAGGGTCTGAGGAAAGCGGGGAAAAGTTCCTGATGACAGTGCCATCAGCGTACTCTGGACCATCGGCAATCATATTAACGTAATGTGGGATCCTCTGAATCATTAAAAGATTGAGTGAATTAGACATAACATAATTTAAAAGCTAGTAAAAGAAACACAAGAAAATGAATGAAATCACAAACCAATCTTTCCCTGAAACCGAGATCTTTGGAGAGGATAACACAAAAACTCGTCATTCTGCAGATCTTTACAAATGGATGAGAATGAACCTTTTTACGGATGAAACCCTAGCCGGTGATTCTCAAATTTATAGTATCCAGCTCATAAATGAAATAACGACGTCGACGGATAAACTTAGGCATCGTTTCCTAATTACTGTTTTTTAATCCTTGTGTAATTCAATTTTTTTAATTGGCACATTTTCCAATACGCCAGAAAACTTAGAAAAGTTTGAATCGACGCATCGTTTCCAAATTACGTATTTTACTCGTTTTGTAATTTAAAAAAATACTAACCGATACAAAGTATAAAACGACGTCGTCAAGTATGGAAACAATGCTTATTAATATGTTGACATTTAATATCTCGACATTATAATAGGTCGGCATAATTAAAAATTCACATGCATTAACTGCAAATCCGCACAATTCCCAAAACGTTGACTGAAAGATCAACGTTTCTTCCGCCTATACAAAAAATGTGGACATTATAATATAAAACGACGTCAGAAACGTTGCTTAATAATAGGTTGACATATTTAAAAAATCACATGCAGCATTAACATTTTAATTTTGTACAAGGACCATTATCAAAATTAAAAATATTTTAAGGGTGTTTTGAAGAAAAAATATTTTAGAGTGACCAAATATTTTACAGCGACTAAAAGCATATTTAACTTTAATAATAACAATAATAATAACAACAACAACAATAATAATAATAATAATAATAAGTTATGTGTTTACTACGGAGTATTTTTTTTCCTATTCACATGCAGCATTAACTTCAAATTCGCACATTTCCCAAACTTTGACCAAGTTCACGAGATGTTAATCGTGGCCGAGATGAAGCATTTCTTACGCTTATATATTCGGAAACATTAAAATCAAAATACACCCGCATCTCAAACAATTTTTGATATGGAAAACAATGCAAATGATATCCCAAAAAACATTGAGAAAAAATTCAGTCATGGAAGGAGAGAGTGAAAGATCTGGAGAAAAAGCTCGGGGTACCGGAGACCGAAGAAAAAGAACTCCAAAACGGGTCTCAAAATTGAATGGAAATCATGAAAAATTCGGAAGAGATGGTGGAAGCTTTAGCAAAAATCCTAGGATTATCAGTGAGCGACCTTGATTCTGGAGCTTCCTCTAATATGAGTGACGAAGAGTGATGATGTAACACCCTGCAACCCGGTCTAAAAGAATTGATTAATTTAATTAATTAATTACTCTTCTGGACCAGAGTTGGGGAAATTCAAAAGTTCTTAGAAAAATTATTTGATCATATCATTAAATTCGTTTTGACTGCCTGATTCTAGAAACGCAAACGGATCTCAATTCGGACCCGTTTGGGGAGGAAAAGCGCGTACCGTTCAGGTCAGATTTTACATTACGGAGTAGAATAAACATTTGTAACCCCCCAAATTCACCCATTACGCCACTCATTCCCCATAACCGACCATCACTCTCATTCATTCTCCTCATTATTCCCATAACTTAAAAACCCACACATTTCCCATTCATCCCCTCACATTTTTGTAACTCCCATAGACAATTCATCTTCTCTCTCCCTCTCTCTCTCATTTTCGGCCAGACCAGCAGCGAGGAGGACCTCCGGCGAAGCTCCGGCGGGTGCAAGGTTGAAGGAGAAGAAGGGCTAGGGCGTTCGTGCGAAGCGTAGTCGTCGTTTGTTCGTTCGTTGGCACCATTCGTTCATCTCGTTCCGCCAACCCCTTCATTTAGAGGTGAGTAGTTGTCCCCTCTAATTCTAGAACATTAAGTTATAATCTATGTCGTTATATTCATAGAAATATCATACGCAACCTACATAGAATCCATACATGTTCGTAGATTAATCACCAAAATGTTCATTACGTAAACCTATAAATTTTGGCCTAGGAATCACTAGAAATGTATTCATAAATGTTATGTTATTGTTCCAAAAAGAATCTAGGTGTTAAATTAGCAAAACGGACCAAAACAGAGTAAAGGACAGCGGACTACCTCCGGGACGGTCGACCGCTGCTACGGACGGTGGACCGTACCCATGGCCAATCCGACGGTCACCACCGTGACGGTCGACCGCCGGCCACGACGGAAGACCACGGTGGACCGTCGGCCATCCAGTTCCCCACAACGCAGTCCACGGTCGACCGCCGGTAGGGTACGGTCGACCGTTCTACGGGCAGACTTCCGGGCAGTTTGTAGAACGAGCCCGTTGACCCAGAATCTGATCGTTTCTTGCATGAAAAGTTATAATTTATTTTAAATGTTATATAATTGATGTATTCTCGGCATTTACCAAAGGTAAAAAAAACATCAAGCATCCATCATGTTCATTCTAGACGCATGTCTTAGGTTTCATCATGTGCATACCGCTGTAGGGAGGACTACCTGCGCCTACTACAGTGTGCCCGTCCAGGAACCTTCGGGGACCAACGGGTTTCCATCATGTTGGGCTTGTGTACGTACATAGTAGTCAGGCTACGGCTACTACCCGGTTTTTGCTAGTTCACTCGCGACATCTTCGTCGTGCGCGGCTCGTTACCGTTCGGGGACGATGACCGGAGTGCAGGGGTGATCCTGTCGAGTGAGACTAAGTGAGGGGTGTTTCTGATAGTTCAAGTCTTGCATCAAGTCATATCTTCATCATGTATGTTCCAATCACCTTGTGGTTTGTAATAGCTCTAACAGGTGGAAACTAAACAATTAGTAACATGTGGTTTTTCCCATACGTTAAGTACAGGTATTAATATGTGTATAGCCATATGGGTTATCACTTAATGTTCTTTTGTTAGATTCACTCCTCAGCTTATGCTGAGCGTGTAGTTGTCTTTGCTACACGCAGGAAACATGACGGTGCGGGTGCCAACCCTGGAGAGCAGTGACGATGGAGAGATGGGCGGCGCGCGGACGGGCTTTTATTTATTTCCATAAACTTAATTAATTAATTGGGCATGAACCCACCCTTGTTGTTATTTAATTTGGACTCGACTTATTTATTTACTTCCGCATTTACTCTGCACTTTTATTACACACGTTTTGGGAGTAACTGTTGAGGACTTGTCGTGCGGTCCAAAACAAATTAAAAATTTATAAAATATCCTTAGCTAACCCCCAATATAATCAAATAAAAACTATAGTTAGGGCAAGTAAGGGTCGATCCCACGGAGAAAGTTTGTATTTTTTAAAACCATTTTAGTATGCGAATACGTTGTCACGAAATAAAAATAAAACTAACTACTACACATATATATTACGTATAAAACTTATAATAAAACATATTCAAATAAACATAAGAACTTATAAATATGACTTATATAAACAACGAACTTATAATATAAACTATAAAAACAAAACAAATACCTAAGTATATATAAGTATAAAAACTTATATTTATAACTTATAAATAAACAC